AGAATCTGAGCTTCCGCCTCGCACGGAGAACGGCCAGCCGAGTCTACCTGACGCTGTACCTTATCAGATGGGCTGCCTGAGTTTTTCTCTTGACGCAAATATTCCCGTCTCTCTCTACGTCGCCTCGACACGCTCGGTGATCGACTGCGACTGTTACTACTCCTAGAACGTGACCTTGAACGCCTACGGCTGATGCGAGAGCGGGAGCGTCTAAAATGATGAGGTGAATTGGTACGAGACATGGATCTGCTGTGTCGACTCTTTCGGGATAAACTTCTCGAATTAGTGCGAGAACGATAACCACCTGACCTTGCCTCGAGCTCCTCCTGTAAAATGGCCCGAATCATGTCTCTCAAGGAGCTGGGTGAATTGGCCTCCGAAATTCCTGATTTTTCCATGGTTTCTGTTAAACAAGTATAACCATTGGTTAACGTATTCAATCTGGTTGAATACGCCAATCAATTATGTAACAGACTGCTAAGTGGTATCAAAAAGAATAGCCTTGTTGTGAACTTACCTACCTACTCACTGAGCACTATGTACCGAAAAGAGAAATCGCACGCGTTTTCTGAACTGAAGCAGGCCGGGCGACTGCACGGATCGCGCACCAAAAAGCGAATGATTCAACGCGAGTGGCCAGGGCGCGGCGAGGAGGTGGGGATTCTCGTCTTTCAACTTGGTGCGCGGATCGTACTCCAGGGGCGGACTACATAGTGAATAAACAAAGTGATGTCTTCGGACTGGACCCAAAGTATAATTAATACATCATACGTACAGAAAATTAAAAGGTACACCTAAAAATACAGCCCGCTAGCGACGGGTGATGTGGCAAAAAGATAATTAAGGAACGACGATTTGCGCAATGCGGATTCCTAAAGGTTTTCTACTTTATTTTTAGAGGAACAATGGACCTGCTTGCTTATGTAATATTTTACGACAGGTATTTCGGTATTATTAGACTCAAACTTGCATTGCGGTCAAAATGCAAAAAATGATTTATACCCGTTTATATGTTTACGACGAGCTATTCACCTCTACAACAGGTTTGTTGTATTTTATAATAAGCGTTTTCGTTTAAACGCAAAACTGATGAAAAATGCAGCTTGGCAATTTTTCATATTTCATTAAAATTTACGTCGCATAATTTCAAATCGTACAATTATTAGTAAATAGTGAAATTATTAATTTTTCCGACTTGTCTTTCCATTACGTTCTCGTTACTGAGCGCAGATATCGCTGCACACATTATAGTCAGGAAACACCCTATTTTGCGTTTAAGCACAATTTCAAATTCCTAAATACACTTTGCAGTTATGAATATTACTTGCCTCAAATGCAAATACACGGAAAAATGTGGTGGATGCGATAACATATGAATTTCACTTTCTAATAAATACGTAGTGGCGTAGCGTAATTAGTAGGACTAAGGGCATTACAAATTTTAGAAATTGAAGCTTCTATAATAGAATCTCTTTTTGATTTTGATTTTTTTTAATGAAAGGAAGACCTGAAACTTATCCTGGTTTTCATGTCCATAAGACTCCATTGTATCTCCGAATCAAACCACATGTACGCTTAGACTCTCGTTTATTGTACGACGTTTCGGCCATCACGCTGATATTAAACGTACAATGGGAGCGTTCAGCCAACGTAAAGCGGGCCAGCAGTGCAGCGCTTTTATGGATTCGGTTGCGGCCATTTTCGGTCCAAAACCAGAGCTTAGGTTAGGTTTCGGTTTTAGCAGAAAATCCGCCGAAACTACAATTGAAACCAAAACTGCGTTCATATGTTTTCTAATTTACAAATCATTGAGGAATTCCAGTTCAGGCTCACTTTCAGGCAAAACATTCAAAACAGTTTGTACAAAATAAATTTCCTAAAATATGTTTCTTGAAAATATTTTTCGTTTATGTTTAGTCAAGGATACCCAAATCATCGTTTCAAATATCATCATTGCCAATAAAATCCATTTTTGAAGACTTGACAATCTTATCGTTTAAGTTAAATATAGTTTACAAAATTTTGAACGAGTTTTAAGTACTTGTGCAATAAAACTCTTCAAATTAAACTAGTAATAACTGTCTTAACTAACGTTAAATAGTATTAGTGCAACAACAGTTATTTTTGTTTAATTGTTGTCTTTTTTACATAATGTTGGAGACAAGAAATATTCTTTAACTAAGTCTTCATAATATTTGATAAATACTGATTATTATATATTATATAGTTTGGTTTTTTCTTTAATATCAAACTGCTATTAATATTACTGATAATAATTGATAAATGCTTTTTTGTGTTTTCTTGGAGATACACTACATCTTACCTCCCATTGGGTGCCCAACTAGCAAAGTTGTGGTATAAGCTTTTGGTAAAAGAACCGTTCAGCCATAAAAGCTCTCTATTGTTGTTGCCTGAACACCAAAATGCTGGCTTAATGTTGTGTGGAATGCAAATTTGCTTTCTGCAACATATTTGCTCTAAAATGAGGTGTTTAAAATATTCTTATAGCATAGTTATACAACACCTTATAGGGCAAATTTTTAGCTGTTGCATAAACGTTTATACAACCATTTTATACGGCATATTTGCAAGTTAGTCAAAATGGTTGTGTTGTGGCATCCATGGTAACGTTTATAAAACTAACCCGAGCCTTGTTGTTTTGGTATGCAATTTACTACTTTAGCCAACAAATTGCTCCCAACGGAAGCACTTATACAACTGTTGTTTAGTAACTGTTAAAGGCTGTACATATGCTAAATATATACAAATTCATCATAACCTAACTTTCTGCTGTCATATTTTTGTTAAAATGCCATGACCAATGTTTTAACAGAAACAACGCATTTTGTTTCAAAAGGTTTTATCAACTGTACAAACAGAAGATATAGATCTGGTACAAATTCTGGGTAAATCATTCGACTCTGTCGGTATTTCATTTCAGACATTTGTCAAATTGTTGTATAACACCTGCAGGCAACACCAAAATATTCTAATAAACTAAAGACGACATGGACGATGCCATGATTATACACAACCACCCGCCATATTGGGCAAACATTTATTCCTCTATTTAATATTAAATAATTATGTTTCAGTTCGAAATTAGAGATATAAAGTGATAAACATTAGTGTAATTGTGTCTAAATATAGGATTTGTGGAAGATTTAACGCAGATAAGTTCAGTTTTCCATCTTAAAAATCTAGACATACTTTTGATCATTATTAAAAATGAATCAAATACGAAGCCCGTAGAAATTGCGTAACTACTTTGCACGATAATCACAATAAAATTTGTTGCGCAAGTAACTCAATAGCCCTATATCACAGTGTAGCAGTTTATCATATACCTGTGTATGAAATTCACAATGGCCGATATGTAAGTAAACAAGATGACTGTAATGTGTTAGTTATATATTCTTCACTTCGTCTGTACAATACATAAGAAATAGTTTGGTTGCAATAAAGTAGAATGACGTAACAGAATAGTTGGATAGTTGACAAAACCTGAATCTTGCACTGACGCAAATGTCCTATAGCGGCTGCAAGAGGCTTACACTTTTGTTGTATAACTGTTACCTGCAGCCCTTATACAACCTCTTAAATGACTGAAGTGTCCTATTAGGTGTGCCCATTCCGCTTGTATAGCTGTTCTAAGAGGGTTTTGCCAATGTTCTTACAGTATACAATGCTGTGTAAGGAATACTGTATAATCATTCTTGCAACTCTAATAGGAGTGATAATTGTTAGTTGGGTGGTACCAACCTCCCATATCCCATATCATACTCCTCAGTTGAAAGTTTCAGTTTCGAACTGGAATTCTTCAATGATTTGTAAATGAGAAAACAACTGCAATTTCGGCGGATTTTAGTCTAAACCGAAACTCTTTTTTGGGCCGAAACTGGCCGAAACTGAAACCGCAAGTTAGGTTGGACGCTAGCTACTGCTATTCAGCATAAAAGGGCTACGCCCTTGGACAGCTTAACGTCGGCTGAACGCTCCCAATGACAATAATGAAAATATATTTGTCTTCAAGGCAACAGTTCATTTATGTCGATAATTTAAAATCGACAGATAACCTCAGGCTCGCTTGTCGCTTTGGGGGCTCGTCGTCCTTTTGGGAGCAAAAATGCCTACAACAGACGATCCTGGGTTTCTCTGGTCTTAAACAGTGTCATCTTACAACTGAAATGATGACTTAGAGCGACTTCGGTATGCAACAGGACCGTTCAATCTATGGCCACAGCACACTGTGCAGGAATGAAGAAAAGAAAAAATAAATGAACTGTCATCTGGAAGACAGATAAACAAAATATTCTGTCATTACTGTCATCGCTCTTGAAAAAGCTCTCCGTGTCGGCATGCTCGGATCCAAGGGGGGGTAACGGTGCGATCACCCCATCCCCCCCAAGGCCTCAGACTTGCAGGAAAAACAGAGGAAAGGGGCAAGAAAGAGGAAATGAAAAATTGGGAGGGTAGGAGGAAAGAAAGGAGAGGAAAAGGAGGAGAGAGAGTGAAGAGGGAAAATGAAAATAGGTTGTGAGGCAACCCACACTACTTGCGACCCGCTCGCCTAAGACGTGATGCTGGTTCAGCTATTGCGTGGCGGTCGAAAAGCCGTAAAATAATCCACACATATATTATGTGGTTTGATTCTGCTAGACAATGGAAATCTATGAAAAGAAATCATATAAGCTCGGGATTGTTAAATTTGTTGTATACGCGATGTAACCACTCAAGCACAAGGCAAAAAAGCCAAATGGGAAGCAACGAGCTTTTTTGACATCAGGAGCTAATGGCCGATCATTTTCTGAATTTTTCACCTTGATGACAACATTGTGTTTTGTTAATGTCTATTCCTATTTCTGAAGACAACTTGGTCACTGGCTACTGAATTGGTCAAAAACGCTCGCCTAAAATGCAGAAGGTCGTGGACATGGATTCCTGATGTGTTTTTCTTTTTGTTGGTCCTAATTTAAATTATAGCTTTGAGTGGAACTCACCTTATCCAGTGTTTGAATAATATCAATTTGTTTGGATCAAGGTATTCTGCTTCTTCTGCCTCTTCCGGTGGTTTTTCCCCTTCTCCCTCTCCCCCCTCAGCAGGCGCTTCACCGCCACCTGCAACAGTGGAGTAAAATTAGATTTAAAGCTCGGAACCTGGTTCTACTAGATGGATTTTCGAGATTTTCAGCGGAATACGTTTAAAATGCTGTATGAATACTAAAAAGCTTACCCAATCTTTTAGGCACTTTTGATTTTCAATTGTATTTTTTTTCGTTTCTATTTATAAGGTTATTCAGGATTATAATACAAAATCTGATAGACTTCAAACTCAAACTGAACAAAGCTGATTTAGATTAAAGCCTTTAAATCGACGATAGACAATATTTGAGAGTCGAAGGTTAATTTAGCCATAAAAAAAGTTCCTGTTATCAAACGTCTTAAAGTGTCCGATTACCAAGATACAACGCAAAGTAATGTATACGGCCCTGATGGGGCTCAATATGAGCAAAACATAAATATTTTTCAAATTATGTCATGACGAAATGGGATTCCACTCATGTGTGTCGGTTTGTCAGTCTATGTATTTTGTATATCAATGCGTCATGAGCACAGAGTCAATCTACTTGACAAAATATTCAGTAAACCATCATAGACGGAGAAATACAAATTAAAGTTTAAGCAAAATGGGTGGTGGGAATGAATGATTTCAATATTGATAATTGTGTCATGTATGCGGATGATATATCCCTCCTCATCAGCTCTCCCTCACTTTCTGATCTAATTAGTTCAACAAATGGTATTTCAACCAGCACGAAGTCCTGAGCACCCATGAGGTATCGTGGGACTACAGCGGCATAATACAGGGAAAAGGGGAAACACGTGTGCATGCAACATTCACATATTATGTCCCCGCCTACGAGATCCGTCGGGTGGAACCTCCGCTTTCGACATTCAGAGACCGTCTAATTTTACAAAATTCCTGTGAATAGATTGTCTGTAACTGAAAACAGCCCCAACTACATGGGAATCAAGTTATTTGATAACTACCCAGTCAAATAAAACACCTAAATTTAAAGCAAACAATAAATCAATGCTTTTTAAAAGAGCTTATTACTCGGTTAATGAGTTCCTTTGCGATAATATTTACTTCTCAGCTCCTGTTTAGCTTGCTTATTCTATTTTACTTACTTCTGTGCGATTTTATGAACTTTTGTGATCTTATGCATTTTCTTGTGCTTTGTATAATTTAATAAGCTGTTATGATTTTATAAAAGATTCCATGGATTATATGACTACCTACAGTTTATATGCCGCATCTGGTTTTTAACTGTTTGTAAAGGTAAAACCTTCATTTAGTTAGTACTCTTGGTATAAAGCCTTTGACGCATTCTATATCATGTATATGATATCCGACTAAAGATTATTATTCTCATTATTATTACTATTATTATTATATTTAACGATCAGAAAAATTCAGAAAAATATATGTGTAGATATAAAAACAGTTAAGTCATCATTTACAAAATCATCGCGGAACGCTAAAGTGGTGTGTACTCCTAATATCCAAATATTGCTAAACTACATTACTATTTCTCCTGAGCCAGTAACGTCACCACCGCAGACCACCTGGAGTTTGTTACCCATTTCACAATCAGCAGTGGCCTCCACGACGAAACAGCATCGCGCAACGAAAAGGATTGGCAAGTTATTTCGAATGATGACCACATTATACATCGGGTTTTTATCATTTAATTTTCCCGTTGTTACCGGGATTAGAAGCTTCTTAATGATCGAACGTCTTTGACTTATACTAAAGACGTTACATTTACAACCCCCAACCTCCAAGTTTCAAATCCTAAAAAAAATTTTCCGAAAATGATCAGGAGTCTTTGAAACGTCAGAAAACGAAGTTTATACGTCTTTTATTTGTTCTTCTTCGTGTTTCTGTCCCTAGCTCCGCCACCACGAGACCCATTTTCAAAAACTACATAGCTTTCTTATCCTTGGCATAGTTGTAACTTTGTGTGAAACTTTTGTCAAAATCCGAGCTGTACTCAAGTTATAGGCGGTTATAGCAAGAGGACACGCCGACAGCCAGACAGACCGACAAAATGAGTGATATAGTTTTTCGTGATCTGCATTTCATATAACATCCAAAAAACATGTCGCAATATCAAAATTTTTCCCGATTACAATACCTCCTCGACAGTCTTAGCGCAGGAAGTAAAACTGGTCTTTGATGCCCAAACCTTCTGATCCTGCATATAGAGATATCTCCTTACTTCAAAAGTATACTAAGTGACATATAAATCCGAACACCCAGTTTAAATGGTTTTATTTTAATAAAATTTTGTATCAGTACTTACTGAAGCATAATAAGTAAATGATAAAAATTTCAAAATGATTGCACAGCTTTAAAGCCCTTTGACCTTTAATAATGTGTGGATGCACCCTGATGTGCTACGCATTCTCCAACGCGCCTAGGCATGCTTCTGATCAAGTGGTCAATGTCCCCCTGTGGTATCTCATTCCAGGCAACCACCAACTCCTCTCGAAGTGCTTCTAGAGTCTGAGGAGGACGTTGCAAATTGAGCAATCTCCTACCCATCATATCCCACACGTGCTCAATTGGGGATAAGTTGGGAGATCTTGGTGGCCATGGTAACAATGTGACATCATTATGTTGAAAGAAGTCTATTGTGACTCTTGCAACATGCGGTCGGGCATTATCTTGTTGGAAAGTTGGATCTGCCAGGGTGTCAAGATAGGGTAAAAGATGGGGTTCTAGAACTTCGTGGATATAACGCTGCCCGTTCATGTTACCTCTGATGAAGATTAAAGGTGACCTGGAACCATAAGCTATAGCACCCCAAACCAGAACTCCAACAGTGTGATGAACATGTCTTTCAACAAAAAACTGTGGATTCCTCCTTTCACCACATCGCCTTCTAACCCTTATACCGACGTAATCGCCTTGAGTGGTGCAGGTACAACGGTCACTCTGGGATCAGGAATGGAACAGTATTGTCTTTAGTGACGAGTCTCGATTTTGTTTAGGCATGCACGATGGTCGTGCCAGGGTTAGAAGGCGACGTGGTGAAAGGAGGAATCCACAGTTTTTGTTGAAAGACATGTTCATCACACTGTTGGAGTTATGGTTTGGGGTGCTATAGCTATAGTTCCAGGTCACCTTTAATCTTCATCAGAGGTAACATGAACGCGCAGCGTTATATCCACGAAGTTCTAGAACCCCATCTTTTACCCTATCTTGACACCCTGGCAGATCCAACTTTCCAACAAGATAATGCCCGACCGCATGTTGCAAGAGTCACAATAGACTTCTTTCAACATAATGATGTCACATTGTTACCATGGCCACCAAGATCTCCCGACTTATCCCCAATTGAGCACGTGTGGGATATGATGGGTAGGAGATTGCTCAATTTGCAACGTCCTCCTCAGACTCTAGAAGCACTTCGAGAGGAGTTGGTGGTTGCCTGGAATGAGATACCACAGGAGGACATTGACCACCTGATCAGAAGCATGCCTAGGCGCGTTGGAGAATGCGTAGCACATCAGGGTGCATCCACACATTATTAAAAGTCAAAGGGCTTTAAATCAGTACAATCATTTTGAAATTTTTATCATTTACTTATTATGCTTCATTAAGTACTTATACAAAATTTTATTAAAATAAAACCATTTAAACTGGGTGTTCGGATTTATATGTCACTTAGTATATCTTAAGATTAAAATATGTAGTTTTCTCAAGATCACATGATTCGTTTGCTGCGGCATACGCTCATTCGATACTAATAGAACTGCGACACCTCTCTCGACTTACTTCAGCATTAGTCAATAGTTTGCTATAAAAAACAAAAAATTGACTTAGGCTGGTTCTACATTAGAGCGACGAACTGTCACTTGAACTTTAACCCTGCTTAGCCGTCTCTTTGACTACTTAGAGCCAGCGTTTGCCATCCTCGGCCGCTGGTGGTATCTACAAACATTGGGACCGCCGCATGTGGACCTTGTCTCATTGTAAGGAAGGTACTTGAAATAAACGACATTTAAATGACATTTACCTGCCGGTGCTTCACCTTCTGATGGTGGTGGTGCTTCTTCTTCTGCTACCTTTTTCCCTAGCGGTTTGACAGCTGGGGGTGGTGCATCATCATCACCTGCAAACCAGTCATCGTCTGCCATTTTTAAATATCAGCTGAGATCCTGAAACTGAGGGCATGTTATTCAGTAAAGTGAAAAAAGCGTGGTTCATCTTATGTTCGAAATAATTCCAATCGTTGGGGGAATATTTAATTGAAATTACCAAATGGCCCAAACAATGCCACTTTAGTGGACAAGTGTAGGAATAAAAATATCTAGTATGGTCTTGGAAAAAAAAACAAGAAAGAAAATCTAAACTTTCAACTCGTGTTTTATACTTCTAGAGATAAAAATCGTGCGAAATTAAGATTCTGTATAAACAAAAGCAACTGACAAAACGCGCACAATGCTGTAGTAATGTGCGAAGGATCAAGTTTTTATCCCTTATACCTCACTATTGACCGAACTAATAACTCTGGCTTCATTATTTTGGCTCTACTCATTGAAATCTACGACCCAGATTTTATAGCAAACTAGGAGCTAAGGTATAAGAGATCTGAGAATTTAATGTAATCGTTTAGAATCGTAGCAGCTTCTTACGTTAGTCGCAAAAGGCTTACACGATCTCCCAGAATGGATGATTGCATTAATAAGACCTAATCACATATAAACACAATCACAACATTTTTAGATGACTTTTTCAAGTAAATGTATATTTTTTTCGTTTATTACGCATGCAGATAAAACTTACTTCCTTCTTAGCAAAATCACACACAGAGAAGTATCACAGGAGTTATTATCACAGATCACAAATGAAACTAATTCACAGATGTTCGCACCACACTCACCTAAGGGAGAGTGCTTGTGGGTGGCAAGCCTAAAAAGTCAACCGTCAGATATAAAAAGCAGCTTAGATTCGAATGTTATGAAGAGTGTTAGTTTTAAAGTGTGAGTTGAGTCCCCCTCCAGGATCCCGCAATTGTTCAACCGGTGCCAAATCTGAACGATACGTGTGTCATTGTGAACGCGTCACATCCTGCAGATTGACACGCACTGTATGTTCACCTTAACCTCCACTTGTTACACCGACCCTGGCTTTTTGAAAATATGTTTTCACTCTCGTCTTGTGATGACCTTAAGATATGCACGAGTAAGCGAGGAAAACGGTTACTCAGAAACTTCAAATGGCAGAAGCAACCAACTCTTGATAGTATTTTGAAGTTAGTCGTCGCTCTAGTGCTTTTTTCATGCAAGATCCGTACTACCAAAGTTCCCAATAGCACTGCAGTGGTGTTTTATCGTAACTGACGTAGTTTTCGGCACCCAATCCAGCAGCCTTGTTTCTGTACATTAGTACAGTTATTCATACTAATATTGTACCAAAGAGTAGTTACATAATTTTACGGTACTCTATTGGCTTAGGCTCCACAAAGGGAGATCAAGTTTTTTTTCGCACTGACAGAGTACGAGTGCATGAAAGCCCAACTCTGTTTGCTTTCCATCTCTGCAACATTGACTAACCGTAAACAATGTTTTATGCTTATTGCCAATGGGTATAGGTCTTAGAGAAAACTTCAGTATTTTGTGTGTTAAGAAGGAAGAAGTGACTAAAAATGGCGAGTAGTGCCATCGATTTACGTATTCTACCTTTTTTTTCTAATATCGAAGCAGCCGCGTAAGCAGAAGCTGCAATACCGGAGCACCACGCCTGCTCTAAGATGCTTAAAGACACATATTTAATCCGATTTTTGAACTGCCTAAGGTTAGTAGAACTGGACAAAGCCTCAGGCAGATTGTTCCACAATTTCTACAGGGACAAAGGAGCTGTCGTACCGGCTAGCCCTTGATGTACGAAGATCGACACGGTGAGGATGGGAGGCCGAAGTCAGGTGGACTACGTGGCAGGCTCATTATTAAGAGAAAATTACTTCTAATCCCTAAGCAAATAGCTCAGTTATTTCCCAGCAGCTGCCGCGATTAACAAGCTGTGTTCATGCCATATGAAATCCTCGGTGATATGGACTCCGACCAGTCGAAATGAACGGCTCTTAGGTAAAACTTTTCCATCTATCGAAACCGAATGAGCGCTAGAGCTCCAGATCTCTCGTCATAGAGGAAGTCCTAGCTAGTACTGATCTCTCCAGTTCAGCTGTCATCAGTTAAGCTGTGAAACGAATTGATCGTACAGGAAAGAGAGTCGTTAATACTTGAAAGAAAAAATATTATAGCCAAGACCGATCCCTGGAAAACACCCGCGTTGCTCTTGTGAGATGAAGACGATTACAATAGCAATAGATTTCGTGATATCCAGAGCAACGACGCGAGAACCACCACACCTGAATATAGGTTATCATGTACTGTATTTCGGCATCAAAAAAATTATCCGAGATAAAATGAGTTATCCTGGAGTGGTCTATGAGAATTTGTCACAGCTATGTTTATAATAATAAAACTAAAAATCTACTGATTATTGCGAAGAAGAGATACGTAACATTGTCTGCAGTTGAGGTCACCATCGTAGCCCTTCATTGTGTAAGTATTATCATATGCCATTGTATCCTGTTGAAGGTCATGTGAGTATACGAAACATCGAGAGCAGTTCTGCTGCTATTTTAAGGTTGCCAAAATTCCTAAATATTCTTCAAATTTCCATTAACCAAATTCCAGAGCATCTCAGAGAGTACTGCTATTGTAAAACTTTGTTTTTAGTTGTTAATCAAGCGCGGGTTCAATGATTCAGTGGTTCATAAACCGAAAAACCTGGCCAAAAGTCCGCCAATTTTTTTTTCGCGTTCGACTCCTGATTCTGTTCACAGTACAGGAATGCCCAATTCATATTTTCCTATCATTTAGTTCCGCTCAGATGGCTCTCTAAGGGGGATTATAGAGAAGTGAATATCTGTCGTATCACAGCGCAACATAACAAGGAGCTGGTAACAAAAAAGTGTTCAATTGAATAATATCTCGTTTTGGAACAACTAGTTGTATCGAAATGTGTCAAAATAAATTGACTAGTGGTAGGCATGTGTAATTATGGTACGGCATTGCATTACTTCCAAATCGATACATCATCACCATACGACAATATTATGAAATTGACATTTTTTCCAATGTGTATTAGTGACTTCGAGAAGATTTTAGAACGTTTATGTTTTTAGACAAATATGTGAATTTTGGTAGCAGATAACTACACATTTTGATAATTATGTGACATTATACAATAATTGGCAAAAGCGGGATCGCATCCCCCTACTTATTTCCTAAACGGCTCAAGCTAGCAAGCTGTAAAACAGGTGACGAATAACCTTATTAAATGGAATCCTCCATATTTTGCTACATATTCTGACAGATCAGTTCAAGAAAAGGAGATCTATACCGTTTATATGACTGTTTGTTGAGCTATATGTGATTCAATGTACAAAAATGCTCCACTTTGACAGTCTGTCAATTCTCTATTTTGAAATATATTGAATCCATAATCATATCTGACGTTCCTTTTCCATTGACCATGATCGACGGAAAAATGTATAATTCTTTAACAGACACATCAGTTCAGAGGTGCTTCTATGTAAGTGTACAATGAAATATTTAAGTAACATAACAAAGTATTAGAAACAGAACTTGTTGAAGACAATCTAGAGTTTCGTATATCATCCCGTCATGCGTTGATTCGTTTTCTGAAAGCCTTCTACATGTTTCCGACAAATTAGATGCAAAAGCTAAGCATACTCGCAAAGAGAATAAACCGCAAGAAAAAAACACAAGCAAAATTTTGTACTCAACTAGGACTTTTGATAGATTTACCTAAACCAGGGTACGATTCATCAAATGACGGTAACATAGCTCGTCACTTCTTTTAAAATTCTAAAATTTCAGCATCCAGTGCAGAAATTGACAAAAATTTGATAGATTTAACACTATTTTTCAAGTCCTCTTCGTGCGGTTTTTGAAGAAAACTATCCGCAAATATGTTGCTTTATATCCGTTGTACTATATGCCAGCTAACGTAACATACTTATCCACGGACCGGAAAATAATAAATTGTCTATGCTATTAATTGGACAAATTTCTGAAGACGCTCAAGAATCATCAAATAAATTCATTAAGAAATTCCGTTAATGTTTTACTCGAAAATCTGATAGATAAAAAACTACGCAGGATCTGTTCTCGAGGCTTTTAGCATCATCGGCAGGGTTATTTTGTAAAAAACCTATATAATGTAAAAAAAAACGATAAAATATCAACTTGTTGACCAAGTAGGCTAGTGTGCAAATAGTTCATTCCACGCTTGCTACAAGTGAGCATGAAACAAACGACAGCCAGTTGTTGTCTTGTAGGAAAACCTACATAAACCTACATAATGTCAAAAAACAACCTAATATCACTTTTTAAGTTACGTAATACCTCTGCCGATCCTTTCATTTGGAGTATTCGTAAGCTTCCTACTTCCTCGGATACTATGAATAGATCATGGTTTGATCTCTGATAGTTGATAATGACCCTGAATCGGACAGTGACTGTGTTTAATCGCCTGCATTATATAATTTTGGCTGTAATGTAATTGTTGTAAAACCACTGTAACGGCCATTTTGATTTTCGAAAAATCGATACCAAATTTGCTATTTGCCACCTCAAACACATTTTTGCAAGGATGCTGTCATGCTGGATCCCCATTTTGATTTTTTGTAAATCGATACTAAATTCGTTTTCAGCGACACCCAAAACATAAAAAAACTCGAATTTCAGCACGATCGGAACATTTTTTTGCAAACACGTCCGCCATATTGAATCCGCCATTTTGATTTCCGGAAAATTGACATCAAATTAGTTTTCAGCGACCTTAAAAACATTTAAAACTCAAATTTGTCGGAATCCAAAAATATTTTGTTTATTTTTTGGCAAATGGATACCATATTCAACAAATACATATATCAAGTTTTTTGGTGGAATTTAGTGAATCTTATATCGAAGATTTATGCAGGAAGATCTTAGGACTGAGATTCAAAATTCCCTATATAAACACTCAGGATCATCCTCTTAACAGGATGAGCCAATCCTCCAAATAAGTAGTACAGTTTTAATATTTGGATTTGTCTTTACCGATTTGAGAAATTTTGTGAGCAACCTCGCACTAAAGCAAATGTCACTTATCATCTTATCAAGGATTGGAAGTAGATGACCCTAGACTCAGTCCGCTAAGATATAAATGCCTCATATTTGAATTATCGAAATTCTAAATAAATCTTAGCCCTATTCGGTATAATCGTAGTGACTGAATATACATACACTGAGCGCGCTTGATTAACAATTAAATAACAAAGGTTTACAATAACAATTACTCCAGGGATGCTTTGGGATTTTATTAATGGATACTTAAAGTATATTTTGGAACTTCGGCAACATTAAAATGTTATTTTTTTCATATTGCTTTTCGGGATCGAAAATGACATATTTTGCACTTTGTCAAATATTGCATCGAAAACTATTAACTTTTCTTTGAATAAGATTATGCAGAAAATTCAAATAACAGTTTTACCAATTCATGCGAAGACACTCCCTGAACTAGGCGCTACGCGAATCAATTATAACCGAAAATGCCCCAAGGTCTAATACCATATTGTCTACTTTCTAGTTAAGATTTGATGTAGGCAGTATATATCTAACAAAATTCATATCTGCAAAGGAAATTGTTGAACAAGATTGTCAGCTTACCTTCATATAGACAATTGCGAAGGTAAGATGTAGAAATAGTCGATGGAAGTTTTTTCTGGACCCTTCACGAAAGTTTAAATTTAGTCAACGATCAACCTGAATTCCGATCGATAATGTCAATAAGGCCATTCATTAGATGGCAACAACAATTGGCAAAATATGCATTCGATGCGTTTCGGTCGTCACATCAGTGGTGTATCAAGGATAGGAATTTCAAGCAGGAGGGCAATATTTATTAAGCCGGCGACTGACTGAAACCGAGCGCTCCGATGTAATGCTCACATAGAGCGTTACATTACTAAGTTCGCGAGTTGAGTCCAGCGAATGTTCACTTGGAATGCT